TAATAATCACATTAGCAAATAACAATAACAATAAAGAGGACAAATATTAACAAGGAAAAATAAATAATAACTCCAAAAATCCACAACCGAATGGGGTATTACACTTCCCCTCAGAGCTCTTTCATTGATAAACCGTTGAACACTTGTATAGTTTGTACTTACACGACTCGAACTCCCTTCTAGTCTAGCCACAACTACATGCGATCCTATCAATTACTTCTCTGGCCACGTCCCGTGGACTTCTATCTCTCGAATCCCTCGAGCTAACCACTGTACTTAATCCCTAAGTACTGATCACAAAAGTGTTTGAATGAAATTAAAAAAAACAAACTAAACAGCTTCAGTTCTTGGATACGTAAGAACCCTTGAACTGAACTGTGAACAAAATAAAACTAAAAAGGCTTGAAGCTCGAATATTGAATGGAAGATAATTATTTCAGCATCATATCTTTGATCATCAAGCATGGTATATATACAACTCCTTAGGGTGGAGTCTTCTCCAAGTTCTTCCTTTCCTTTTAGGAGTCAATTTCCTTCTTAATTGTTGCTTTCTGATTTGGACGAAATCCTTCATGTAAGGTAAGTTTCCTTGATGTGGAATTCGTGCATGTGATTTGGAGATCTTCAGAATTGAGCTTCAAGTGGAATCTTGCGTTTCCAGAATCTGGTAAGAACATGACTTTCCAAAAATAACCGATCTTCCAAATCTTCAAAGATCTTGTGGTGAATCTTTCAAAATCTTCCTTAGATCTTCTCATGAACGTCGAGAACCCCTTATTCACGAATTGCTCATCCGTTCATAGTTCTTGCCACTTATTCCTTGTCCTACAAGAAAAAGAGAACTAATTATGGCATGTGGCATATATGGTAAGTAAATATATAGGATATTTATTATGTAATCCTTCTCCTAAAGGATTAGGATTCCATAATACATACTACAATAAATATATACCATATATTATTAATAATAAATATTAGTAACTTAATTAAATCATAAGTAAATAAATAGAAAAACTTCCCTTTAATTTATTTTGTTTGCTTAACAAGAAATCTTCTAGAAAACACTTAGGTTTGTCGGACATGATGCCAAACCAATGTTCTTACAATCTCCCCCTTTGGCATTCAGTTTGAAAATCGTGTTTCTTGAAAATAACCTACAAAATAAACTCAAAACAGCAAAGCAATTATCTATGTTCGAACATCAGGAAGTAAACTACTCAAACACCTGCAATGTAAGAACATCAAAACAGATCCTATCAAAACAACTATGAGGACTATGATCAGAGCAATCAAAACACGTCAAGCTATCAGAACCTAAGTCAAATAAAGTGACCAATGCATCTCCCCCTGTCAGAATAGACAAAACAATCAAACAGCAAAACATACATGTTCTTACATCCTGTAGAAATATGTCAAAAACAGCAACCACAAGTAATCAGAAGCAAACAACTAGAACATAATCCCGAACATCTTCAGAAACATCCTATTTCTCCCTCTTTTTAGACTGAAATGCCAAAGGCAAATCTCCCCCTGAGTAAGAACATCAAATGAGATAAATAGAGATGACCGAAGACAAAAGACGTTGCTTGAATTGATATCTAATCGCTGATATGCTGTCCATCTCTTCTCCAGGCCTTTGCCATCAATCAAAGTGTTTCAGAAGCACATTAGAAAATGATGTAGGAACACAAATGGTTAAACGAATAATTCATGGAGAAAGACAAATGAAAATGGGGTTCTCAGGTTCCGAAAATGAAGATATATAGTGAGGACAGAATGAATGAAAAATGTCAGGATGTAATGGGTATGGTTTAAAAATCACGGGAAAGGTTGGATACTATGCAGTAAGAACATTCCCATCAAAACTGAACACACAAACCCATTAACACACTAACACATGTGTCCAACTAATTCAAAATTAGGAAGAATAAAATTTTATCATGCAAAAATAAATTCCCTCACAAATTTTTAATGCCCAAGTAATTCAATCAACGAAGGAAATCTTATGCAATATATGCCTAGTATGAAAAAAAAATAAAATCGCACACAAAATTCACTAGATCCATAAAATCTTTTCCTTTTCAACTTAAACAAGTTTGATGATAACAATCAGAGATCAACTTTGAGATTCAAACTTCCCCACAACTTCAATTTTTGCAAGAACACATGCCATATTATTCATAGTGCGTTTCACTTAGTAACAATCACTGCAATAGTGAAAGTCAACCCCACTACTTTACACCATGATTTTAAGCAATGATCCTTCATTTTTTTTAAAGCACTACGGTTTTTATGAGGGTGACCACCTTATAACTCCGCATAAAAACACCACACAATAATATGCAATGTGTGTCACTAGCTTACGCCCTTCTCAACATTTTCTGTCCAAGACGCTCTTTTCACAGTCGATCCCGCATTGGGAAACGAACCATGTGCTAGCTATCGCTCTAGATCATTTATGAGAGGTCAACTCTTTTTGACAAAACAAAAAATATTGAAAATAAGTACGTTCCTCAGTATAGTAAGAACACGCAGCCAGTCTAAGACAATCAACATCGCTCAAGTTTTCAGAAGAGTCAAAACTTTAATTAAGAATCTAGTGGTGAAGAGAATGCAAAATACAATAGCATGCCTAATGCAATATACCCTATATGCTTACAAGCAATGTGATATATATATATATATATATATATATATATATATATATATACTATTATATACAATAAAATGCAATATAATGCAAATTCATGGAAGCAATCAGAGAATGCATATCCCTAAGGATTTTCTTAGAGAAATAAATCTTTGAGCATCAAGGTTATGTGCTGGAACATATTTATGAACAATTAAACCATCATCAACCAAATTTCTAGTAAAGTGGCAACGCATGCTAGTATGCTTAAGGGAATGTTGAACAGAATATTTGGAAATATTAGCCGCACAAGTATGGTCATAGAAAAGGTCAATGGCTTGTACCTCAGTTCTAAATTTAAGAAAAATGTGCTTCATCCACACCTTTTCTGAACAACAAGTTTCAATCACAAGATTCTGATCGGTGTAAGAACATCCGTCAGACGTACTCCATTGATCAACGTCATTCAAACCCCTATCAGCATCACATTCTCTAGCAATACCAGAACTCGTATCACATGAGTCAAAAGTCATATAATCAATCAAATAGCAATTACCATGCGATCTAGACCCTGTAAGAACTTGATTATTAATCCTATCAGAAACCAAACATTCATTCAAAGTGAAACTTACAGAGAAGCCTTGATCACATAACTGACTCACACTCAGCAAATTGACATTCAAATTCTCAACCAACAAAACATTATCAAGTTTAGGAAGACCAGGCATGTTCAAACATCCAATTCCTACTACCTTATTACTAACACCATTACCAAAAGTGACAGAACCAGAACCATTAGACACATGCACAACATCAATCAAATTCGATTTAACACCCGTCATGTGCCTAGAACATCCATTATCAAAATACCAATCACAATAAAAAGTGGATTTTGAAGCAAATAGAGATGAAAGACAAGTATGATTCTTTTTGGGAACCCAAATTTTTTGTTGCTTATGGTTCTTTACATCAACCTTCAGTTTTGGTGTTTTCATTGGAACACCAGCGGGGTTCCAGTCATTTATTCTTCCTGCATGCAAATCATTAAGCATCCTATAGCATCTAGGACGAATATGACCAACAACTCCACAATAATGACAAGTAGGAATGAAATTCTTCACAAAACATTTACGGTGTTCTTTCACAGAAACCTGATCAACCTTACCATCAGAGTTGGAACCTTCTTTCACAAAAGTTAGAGAGGACTTACTCAGAGACGTGCTTGGTTCACCCACTTTACCTTTCAGTTTCTGATTGGAGGAGTTCTTACTATGGTCTGAACACACAATCTGATGACTCAACCATTGAACTTCAGCAAATGAGGACTTTGTCTTATTGATCATTTTGACAATCTCCTCACTCTTGCTGAGCTTTTGTTCCAAGGTTGAACAATGGCTTCGAAGAGTCACATGTTCTTCCATCACACGACCGAGTTCTTATTTGAGGGCCGCAATCTCAGAATCCCTTTCACCTATAGTTTTCTGCAAGGAAAACATTTCATTACGTAGAGACTCAATGACAAAATTGTTTTCATCACATACCTGCTTGGACAACTTCTTCTCGTGTTCGAACATCGTGATTTTGGTAACAAATTCATCCAGCTTATGTTCCTCATTGTTGGTACGAACATCAGATCTGGTCAGCTTATCATTGAATTGCCCATTCACCACGCGAGTTTTCTGAAGTTCATCCTTCAAGTAGGCGATCTCCTTCTCATGCTCTGCAGAACGATGATGGAACACCTCGATTTGATCTTGTAGCTTTTTCACCATTCTTCCAGCTTTGATGCTCGTCTCTAATGCAAGCTTATGGGTTTCCATGTCTACTTCAAAAGAACCATCTCCATAATCATCATAATCACTATGAGAATTGTACGTGTAAGAACACATACCTGAATCTGCATCACAAGGCTTTTGAGAGGCTGTATAGCACGTGAAGTTGTTGGGAGAAGTGACGACAAAGTTGTTCGTGTGTTGCTGGTCATCGTCTTCTTCATATCATCCTACATGGCTCGATAAGTTTTGTTCTTCCTCGTGAAATTCGGACATTCCTTCTGAAAGTGACCGAACCCTTTGCATTCCCGACATTAGTCCCTTTCAACTCGTTGGTCGATGATCTGAACCTTGTACTGTTGTACGCTGGAACCTCGCTCACCAAGTTGCTGAGAAGTGTTCTTACCACCTTCAGAGGGCTTGTTTCCTTGAAACCTTATCTTCTGTAATTTCTTCAGCTTTGAGGCATTTTTAGTAAGAAAGGCAAGGGCTTTTATAATCTCTTCAGCATTGAAAGATTCATCATCTGAATCTTCCTCTTCCAACACAGGTGTACGAACCTTGGCTATTAGAGCTAAGCCTTTTCCTTTCCCTATCTTCATCGAGTCAAATCCATGATTTATTTCAAAGGTACGCAACTCACCCAGAAGATCATCAATGCCCAGCTTTTGAATTTTCTGAAAACTCTCCAATGCTGTAATCTTAATTCCAAACCTATCCGGTAAGGTTCTCATTAACTTCTGCACTTGTCTTGCCTCAGAAACCGGTTCACCAAGCATTGCGCTTTGGTTTACTAAATCGCAGAACCGAGCATAGTACATGTCAATATTCTCATCATCCCTCATGCGAATCTCGTCTAGTTCCGTAGAAACTCTTTGGAGCCTTGAGGTTTTTACCGCGTTTGTACCTTCAAACTGTCTTTCCAAAATCCTCCAGGCTTCTTGAGTGGTTGTGCACTGAATGATTATCTTGTGACGAGTGGGATCTACAGCAGACATGATAGCATATAGAGCCCGAAAATTAGCTTCTTCTATTAGTCTTTCCGCATCAGTCCGCAAATCTCTCGGTTTTTCAACAAGATCATGAGGACCAACAACAGAGGACGAGAATCCTTCCTTCTTCGGGTGATTTCTCCATCAAAGGTGTTGACCAATCTGATTCGATGACTTGCCAAGTTCCTTTTCCAAGAGACCGAAGAAAAATTACCATCATGGATTTCCAGTACCCATAGTTTGAACCATCGAGGTACGGAGGGCGCGAAACAGACATGTCGTAGTTCATGGTGACATACCCAAAGACCCAAAGATCTTTATCCTGTGATTAGAACAGGAACACTGCTCTGGTGCCAATTGAAACGTATATTTTTTACTCGAGTGCGCAAAACGATGTAAGAACGTGGATAAACAACGTAAATAGCAGAAGCAATAAACCGAAGATGTAAAACTCTTCAGGGAAGCGTCTACTTCCCCTCAGAGCTCTTTCATTGATAAACATTTAACACTTGTATAGTTTGGACTTACACGACTCGAACTCCCTTCTAGTCTAGCCACAACTACACACGATCCTATCAATTACTTCTCCGGCCACGTCCCGTGGACTTCTATCTCTCGAATCCCTCGAGCTAACCACTGTACTTAATCCCTAAGTACTGATCACAAAAGTTTTTGAATGAAATTAAAAAAAAAAAACAAACTAAACAGCTTCAGTTCTTGGATACGTAAGAACCCTTGAACTGAACTGTGAACAAAATAAAACTAAAAAGGCTTGAAGCTCGAATATTGAATGGAAGATAATTATTTCAGCATCATATCTTCGATCATCAAGCATGGTATATATACAACTCCTTAGGGTGGAGTCTTCTCCAAGTTCTTCCTTTCTTTTTAGGAGTCAATTTCCTTCTTAATTGATTGCTTTGTGATTTGGACGAAATCCTTCATGTAAGGTAAGTTTCCTTGATGTGGAATTCGTGCATGTGATTTGGAGATCTTCAGAATTGAGCTTCAAATGGAATCTTGCGTTTCCAGAATCTGGTAAGAACATGACTTTCCAAAAAAATAGCCGATCTTCCAAATCTTCAAAGATCTTGTGGTGAATCTTTCCAAATCCTCCTTAGATCTTCTCATGAACGTCCAGAACTCCTTATTCACGAATTGCTCATCCTTTCATAGTTCTTGACACTTATTCCTTGTCCTACAAGAAAAAGAGAACTAATTATGGCATGTGGCATATATGGTAAGTAAATATATAGGATATTTATTATGTAATCCTTCTCCTAAAGGATTAGGATTCCATAAGACATACTACAATAAATATATACCATAAATTATTAACAATAAATATTAGTAACTTAATTAAATCATAAGTAAATAAATAGAAAAACTTCCCTTTAATTTTTTTAGCTGCTTAACAAGAAATCTTCTAAAAAACATTTAGGTTTGTCGGACATGATGCCAAACCATTGTTCTTACACTTCCTGCTCGTCCGTACGATCGCTCGCCACCACTATCCTGGTGTCAGAAAATGCGTCTTCATGTGTCAGGGAATGTCAGAAACCGTTATCGCCCTGGACCACTCCTTATGCGTCGCGTGTCCTCTTTCCACGTGCTGGAGATTTCCTCATATATTCCGACGCCTTTGGACACTGAGCTGTCGCTAAGGTACGAAGTGGTCGACTCAACGACCATGCCTTTTGACAATATTTTCCTTTGCCCAGAGCCCGGTGAAGCAAGCACTTGCGAGGGTCCGTCTCGACCAGATCACTGGCTTATTTTATTCAATTGACCCGGCAAACCTGTCCAATATGCAATATCCCATATCATGCTTGGATATGGATACATTGCATTTTGATTAGGTTGTTAAGCAGAGTTAATTTTAAAAAAGTTAGTTTAGATCATTTCTGGTTAATTATGTGAGTTTATGAATAATGAATTATAGTTGATTTAATGTGTAAGTATGAGTGATTGATATTATTTAATTATATTGATAATATTGAGAATAGTGAGATATGAGTTAAATTTTGAGTTAAGACTTTTTTTTTTTTTAAATATATGTATATCCAAGCATGCACTAAAGTATTTTTTAGCTCAAAACTTCAAAAGAAAAAAAAAAAAAAATCCATCCATGCCTTTGAAAAAGCATAATGCTAGTTTAACATAACTTTTTGACACAATTGGTAACACAAATGATGTGCATCATTAGAAAGTGCCACAAAATTTTGGCATGTATGTATTATGTCAAACTTTACATTAACCATTATGTTATTGTTGCATTATCACTCGAAAACTTAAAGAGATGAGAGACATTAGGCCAACAGAAAATATAAGTTTTTTATTTAATGATTAATAATATTCTATTTAAGCATAAACACGACAAGACCTTAGTTATTAGACACTTAATAATATTCTATAAAACCACGTAAACATGACAAGACACTTTTTAAACTTAGACCATGGATTTCAGTTTCCATGTATAACTCATTTAACACCATAAAGAGGCTACAATTTAGAAATTAAGACAAAACACTTTTCTAGGTCTTCATCGACGTTGAGGAGGTTTTACGGGTAGGAGATTTTCGTGGACTTTTAAGAGGTCGTTTGGGAGGAGATTTTCCTTTGGGAGGAGATTTTCCTTTGGGAGGAGATTTTCGTGGACGATTTGGAGGTTTTCCAGGATGATTTGGTCCTGGGTCAGGATTATAATCATCGATCTCAACATTCATTCTTCCAGAAAACACCTTTATTTTTTTCATTCCAATGCTTGCCCTTGGGATTGATTTTGCTTCATTAATTTGTTTCTGTTAAAAAATACAAATTAGGACACCATCAAGATTAATCATAATTGCAAAATAATAAATATGAGTATTTAATTCCAAATAACCACAAAACAAACATGTAGAATGTTGGGTTAATTTTCCATATCAATGTTTTAACAGACATAAAACATAGTGCACAGATTTGTCAAATACATATAAGGATCGAACTATTTAAGATTATCACGAACTCGACACAGAATGAAAGTTGATTTTGCATGCATAAATTTAGATAGAATATTGAGCGACCAAATGGATTCAGATTCGACTTAAATTTTGTAAATTTGACCATCCTCGACTGAGGTCATATCCATCGTTTGTCTGAAACAGATGTCAAATGACACAGTATTGGGTAAAACATAAAACGTCCCAAATATTTTAATTCGAGAATTAGCAAGCAAACTTCAATTGAGCTGATATTTTAGAGGTACAATTGTCTCAACAAAAAGAGTCCAACAAGGGATAAACTAAAAACAGTGATGTATGGCGCCATAATTAGGTCGGACTGAGAATAACTCAAATCACTTTGGATAGAACAATAAAAGTTAAAAAGACTCTGATTAGATTGAAATTTTGCAAGTACCTCGACAAGACGAATCGAACGGCAATTCATCCAAGACCAGAATTAGGCAGAACAAAAATAATCTCTCATGATCAGTTTACGTTTTTTTATTTTGTTTACAACTTATTAGTATATAAGTTTTATATATGCTACTGTACCATGTGTTTTATTTCGAAAGAGACCAATATTGTGGATTATAATTAAAATTTAATCAAACTTTCACAAAAGAATTTAAACACAAGAATACAACGCACAAATTTCATTAAACACAAATTTTATGCAGTTAAGGTGAGACAAAAATATGATGAAGGTACCGTACGTACTTTTGTAGCTTGTTTCCCATGTCCTAGGTGTGTATCCTCTTTTTGAATATGAAAGAAAAAGATTTGATAAATTTATCATAATAAATTAAAAATGGAATTAATAACAAAGACTGAAAATAATTCTTAAATCAAAAAAAATATAGTTGAAGATTTACCTGAAGTTGAAGGAGCAACTCGAGAAACCAGAATAGATAAAACCAGCACAGTCATAAGTAAGTTAAGGTCATTTTTACTCATTTTTCCTTTTTGTTTTTTCAACACTTAGCAGTTTTTCTTTTATATTTATTTCGTGTTTAGTGTATTGAGCCTTGGGTCCTATATTTATAGATGAGAGATGAGCGTTTTAGATACTTTCATGGTTATGATTATAATGGAGAAAATGCAAGACTAATTTTCGTCATTTTTATATATTTTTGTGGTTATGATTATAATTTGAGCAAACATTATCAAACTTATGTGCTATGGTAAGTCGTAACAATATAAATTAGACATTGATATCTTTTAACCCAATAAAGCTAAAGTTGGTCGAATAATTACTAACTATTTCATCTTTACTAAATAAATAATGAAATTAGGGTATCAATAGCCTAATACCCTATCAGAAGATCACATACTCCTTACCCTAAGAAAGTTTAGCATAATGCTCATAAAAATTCAAACCTTCCATCATATTGTAAAGAAAGGAAAAATTTAAGGAAGGAAAATCAAACTCCTTACCCTAGGGGTGGGCAAAAAAACCAATTTTTTTTTTTGTACCGAACCTGACCAAAATGGTCCCGTTCTGAAAAGATTTTCTTTATTTTTGTCCCGTTCCCGGTACGTTTTTAAACAATGTCGGTATCGATTTTAAGTATTTTTGTCGAATCGTCTCATTTTTCCCATTTTATTTTTTTCGTACTAAATATTGTATATATATATACATATATTATACATCATTATTATATTTTATATTATTATTCTAGTACCATTTATATAATTAACAATATATTATTTTGGCATTGGAGCTTCAATAGCATTCTAAATTTGTAATATAAAAAAACAAAAACCCAATTGTCCACGCCAAAACTAAACATTATAAAAAATAAAAAATAAAAAATAAACTAAACAATGCATTTGATAATTTGATTTTAAAGAATTTTTTTATGGTAGATCTTAGATGTTGGTGAGGGGTGACTTAAACTTAATGGATTGATGTGTTTGTCATAATAGAATTAACACTCTATGGTAATTTGGCTTAAGTGAATACTTAAATCGGTGTGTTTG